TGCATAGAGTGAAGTGGTAAATGACGTGTTGCAGCAAAGAAAGCAAAGGATTATGAATATGATCTTTGTGGGAGATGAACGAATTATTATTGTCTAAACTAGGATGAACATGATAACAAATACGCCAAATGCATGGTTGTTGGTTTTGAAAAAAAAAAAAAGTGCTTGAGGAATATTGGTTTTTTTTTTTTTTTTGTAGCTAGGTGTAAAGGGGAGATAATTTCACATGAAGAACATCTATAGAACAAAGAATACTTGAGGTAAAGAACCTAAAGTATTCATGAACTTAGTTTACTTAAATGTGTATGATCATCAGGTCGGGACAATTATAATTGTAGAAAAACAAAGAGTTTCAACTGATAGATGAAAAAATGAACTATTGATGGGTCAAGTGGTCACAATGTAGTTGATCTAGAGTTTTACTATTTATAATTAATTATACTTAAATAAATTAAGAAAGAACTTCTAATATTATCCTTACATAAACATGAATAAAAAAGATAAATCTGATAAGGCAAAAGAGAAAACGAAATTTCTCATGCAAATTCTCATATTAAATGCTCATGCAGAGACGTACAAACAACATGAATTAGGAATAAATGTTGAAAATTAAGGGACCATGCAAGCTAAGATCCTTCTCATGACTATATACATATAATGGGCTTCCGATAAATCAATTAAGATATAAAAGATAATGAGCAAATGATTAAGTTTGTAATGGGTATGGTGCATAAGAAGAATCAATATTAGATATTTTAAGAGTTTGCTTAATCTCCAATTACATCAAAGAGTTATAAGAGTTGTCATACGAAGGTGACGTAGAGGTTTAAAATAATTTTTCAAAAATAATTTTAAGAATTGAAGATATTATTTTGGAAAAACTTGAAAATTCATCGGTTTACTTTAGATATTATAAGTTTCAAAGTAGTACAAGGTAAATGGTGTCAAACATCTATTTTATAATAAACGCTAAATAACGGAATAATTTGTATGTGATAGTTAAGTTTTTATTTTATTTTATTTTATTTTTTTATTTTTAAATTCCTATCTAACATGCAAGTATGTTAAACTAACATTTATTAGTAATTTAAATCACTAATTAAAATATATACAACTAAAAAGAATGGCGATTAAAGCACAAGAGAAAAGAAAACTAAAACTCTAAAGAATACATAGAGTTAAAAAATATATTAAATCTTGATATGATTTTTTTAGATAGCCCTTGCTGTTCCAGCATTGGAGGTTAAGACATGGTTTATACAAGCTAGTGAATATATATATATATATTTATTTATTTAGAGAGAATATTGTGTCTTTCATTATGCAAATATCTCAATATGTTTATTAAAGAAAAAAAATTTAAAATATCAAAATATAATTTAACTATTTTAATTTTTTTTTTCTTAAAAAAAAGAGAGAGTTAAATATTTAAAACAAATAAAAAAGATAAGAGATTAAATTCGCAAAATATATTAGGGGCCAAATTAGTGATTTATAAGAGGAAGAGACTCATGGTAATGATTTCTTGGTAATATGACATATTAAAGATAATAGTAAAATTATAGCAATTATAACATAAAAATATTATAAAAAAAAAAGAGAAGCTTAAAAATTAAACCCAGAAACAAAGAATAGATAGATACACAAATAAATGTAAGTACCTAATAACACATGTAATTATAAATTGAGAATTGAATTCTACTTAACCAAAATAATCATAATATATATTAAACATAAAAAATAGGATGAGAAGTAAATGGGAAATCTCTGTATTCAAATTAGCAAGAACTCATTCTTAAATAATAGTTCCATAAATTTTTAAGTAATCCAATATCTGCAACACTGTTATCGATCATGGCGATGTGTTATTCAAATAAATCTATTTTAATTAGCTGATTCCCCTAAAATCCCTGAGCTAGAAAGATGGGCACCCATAAAATGTTTGTGGTTTTAGTTTGGATGGATGAGAAAATCTGATAGTAATTCCTTATTACAGACTTTTTATGTGTGGAAGAAAGAATCTGATTTGAAAAAGAAAAAATTTCTTGCATGTTGGGAGCTAATTGAGTTAGGTTACAACCTTGGCTTCCTCTTTTGATTTTGAAACTTTGGTCTCTTTGACTTTTTCTGATAATTTTCTGGCTTTTTTAACAGAAACCCAAGTGTTATATTTGTTGTTTGGTGTGTTTGATTAACTATGGGGACACTGATACTAAACCAAATCAAGAAACAAGCATCTTTCTATTTACATGAGAAATACAAAGTGGTCAAAATGGTCTTAACAGATGTGTCTGAGGCAGAGCTGTAAGTCTAACTTACAAATGTATGTGTAATATTATATATATGCATATGTACATATCGTGATTCAATTTCCTTTGGTAATGATTTGAAGGTTGGCTGAAGAAGCAACAAATAATGTTCCATGGGGCCCTGATGCTAAAACGATGACCAAAATAGCTGAGGCATCATTTTATTTAGATGATTACTGGAGAATCGTTGACGTTCTACACAAAAGGTGATTTTGTAATTGAGTCAAGTAAATGAAACAGTGTGTGAGTGTATGTGTGCGAGTATACATATTTATGTGTATATACATGTACAGATGATTGTGTTGGTGTTGGCAAAATGCAGGTTTGATAATAATGATTGGAAGGAGTGGAGACAATCATACAAGTCCTTGGTACTTCTGGAATTCTTACTTACACATGGTCCTGATGACATTGCTGATGAATTCCAATGCGAAATAGATGTGATTCAAGAGCTAGCAACATTCCAACATATCGATGAAAAAGGGTAAGTAATTAATTATGAATCTCTCATATGTTTCTCATTAAAAATTATAATTAATTATTAGATGTTTTCTGAGTAAAAATAAATTCGTAAAAGTCATAAATATAAGTAATTTAAAGAATAATGATCACATTTATAGGATTTGTGAACTTGACTATCCGTGTTCATATAATTTTCATATAATTGTTTAATCTAACCTTCCTTTTTAAACCATAAATATTAGTTTCAATTGGGGTGTTCACATGCAAAAGAGGTCAGAAAACATACAAAAACTTCTTGAAGGAGGAGAAACTCTCAGAGAAGCTCGACTAAAAGCTCTAAGACTCACAAACGAGATCCAGGGATTTGGAAGTACTTCATCGCCTTCTTCCTCCTCATCATCTCCATCATCGTCCTCTGAGGTCTCATCCTTTGGCTCATATTCTACATCCTCTACTGATGTAATTGGGAACTTACCATCACCAACCAAACAGTTAGCAACCGAAAACTACATGAAAGGAGATGATACTCATTCTTCACAAAGTAGAGGTCATTTTGGAAACTTGCACGTTTGGGACTGCCCCCCACCCGAAGAAAATGGCTCATTGCTTGAATATGGAAATGATGAAAGCGTGAAAAGGGAGAGCTTCTTCACCGGAATTTTCTCCAAGTTTACGGATATCTCTCCTCTAAAAACATATGATAATGCAAAAACAAAACCAACTTATAGAAGCATTTCAGATGTTGGTCAAAGTTTAAAGAAGAAATATGATCGTCAGTATTCTTTGGGTAGCTGAAATCTCAACTATTTGTCGATTCTGTATCTGTTTTAAACCCTATATACCGCATGCAGTTTTGTGCGTTACTTAATTTTCTTCTATAATTAATAATATGCTTTTACGATTGTATCTTAATCTTTTAAAAAAAAAAAAGAAAGAAAAACTTAGTTTCATTATTATTATGAAAACATTTTTTCTTACTTTGATCTTTAATGGAGCATTTAATTCATTAAATAAGCTATAAATGAGGCAGAAATCTTACATTTTTTAAGTAGAAGCTGTATCATATTGTTTGGTTCATTGGTACAATTCTGCATCTAACATTTCTACTACCAAAATATCTATATAATGATTCTATAATTCATTATACTCCAACCTTGTTTTAGATGTTGGGTGTGTTTATCATATCTATGAAGTTTCAAGCATATATGTTAATTGAAAAATGTATTACAATAAATTTAAATTCTAAAATATATCTTGAATAACAAGTTAGTAAAATCCTAGATCATATATATTAATATTCAATTAATGATGCTTGTATCAAAGACTAATTATAGAACAATCGATTCATTATATAATGGGTATTTGTTTCTTACTAATCACTTTTATCTAGTTCATGATAGAATAAAATTTAATGTATACTTTAATTATTTTCTTTTTCTCGTGAAGTGTTACCTCCCGAAGAAGAATCTAAATATAAAATAAGTGCTTATCAAGAAATTTATATAATTTTTCAAATGGTACTTTAGTTTTTATCAATTCCAACTTAAATGTAATTGACAACACATCAAGAAATTTTCTTCTTTTCATTCAGTAGCAATCGAGTAAGTCATCAATGTACATAGAAACTTACAAGTCACAAATATCTTATCCAATTTCTTGTAATAACCCGAACCCCCATATCAATGGATACAAACGTTTATACAATATTTCACACTAATGAAACCGATAAATATTAAATACGCAGCGAAATTACACTTTAATACGCATCTTTTGTGACATAATAATTTTTTATTTATAAATAATTAAGATATCTAAATTAATTTATAAATTTAAAATATAAATTTATAAGGTTTTCTTCACTATCTTTTATTGATTTTGAACATGTTTCTCATCTTATGTAACCTGAATAAGAGGTAAATTGGGATTCAGAATGTTACACTTCTATTTATAAATAAAAATTTTATTAATTTCTAATAAAATGTAAAATTATTATCACACTTTATTTTTTTTATAGAGGATTTATATTAAAAGAATGGTGTATTCTAAAATAAATATACGTTCAAGAGCTTATATGGTGCATAATCTTAGAATTGTAATAAACTAAAGTCCAAATACATAATTTATTGTAAATAAATATTTGAAGTCAATTAAAAATTAGATACCATTTAAAACATTTAAATAAATAATTATTATAAATATTATCATTTTAATTAAGCATTTATAGATAATCTAATTTAAGATATATTAACAGTACTACCCAGGTAAAGTTTTTCAATTAAAGTAAGATAAAATTTAAAAAAAAAATAGAATTAAATTATATGATTATTTAACATTTTTGTAGTCATCATATTAATTTTGTTTTTACATTTAAAATTATTTATTATTTAGTACATAATTGTCTTAAAAATAAATTTTATTTGTATATTTAAAATTTTAAATAGATAATTATTCATACGTTATCACATTAATCTTATGTTTATATTTAAAACTATCCAAAAAATCTAATATTATTCTAAAAAATGAGGAAATACCATATAGCAATTTTTAGTTTCTTTTTATATATAATAATAGACGGATAACAGAGTCTAATATTTATGTTAAATTTCGTGTGTGTGTGTGTGTGTGTATATATGTACATATATATATAAGTAGTAAATACTAAGCAGGTGAACATGTAAAGCAAGATTTTTATTGCGATTGAATTAAATCCTCATAATTTATTAGCTAATAACTTCATTGTCAACAAGACATTTATTCACATGCCCTACGAAAAAGAAACAGAAGAACAAGTTACCGTTGAAAAAAGAAAGGTCATTTTGGTAATTTCGTTTTAGTATTAAGATAAAAGGTCATTTTGGTAATTAAACGATAAAATCACTCCCGGTCATTACCAAAATTTGTCCTTACTCGCTACCACCTCCAAATGTCGTTCATCTACTTTTTGCGAATTCTCTATTTTACCCCTCCACGCTTTACTTATCTGCCTCTGTCTAAATTTGCAAACAATTCTCTGAGCTTTCACCCTCCACTCTCCAGCTGGTATCCAAGGTATTATACCGCTTTGGATCCTTTCTCTTTCAGTTCCTCACAGAGATTAAACTTTTTCTCTCAGCTTTCCTTTCTCACCAAACCGTTTCCTCTTTTTGGGGGGCTCTGGTTTTTCTGCAACACCTTTTTATTTACTGAGAACTGATCGAGTTCTCTCTACTTTCCCTCTACGAGTATCAATCTAGTCTGCAGAAAGATATTCCTTTTCGAGGCTTTTTTTTCTCGCTTTCTTGCAAGTACGATTTTGCTTGTTTTTCATTGGGTGATTAACTGATTTGAAAGAAAGGCATCGGGTTTTCTCAACGATGAAGTCTTCAACTCGGCTGGACTCAGCTGTGTTTCAGCTCACACCAACTCGGACTAGGTAAGTTTTATGTAATTGGTGGCTAATACAGTTTATTAGTTATGGGGATATTTACTTTGTTTAAGCTCTGATTGTTACGAATTAGTTTGTTTAATTGTTATTCGAAAAAAAGTATGGAAGATCTTTTGTTTTTATTCTATTGGTACTTTTCTTGTTGGAGACTTGCTTATACTATAGGTTATGGTTAATCTTCTTTCTCTTTTGAAGGAAATTAATGCTTTTGTTGAATGATGATTGATGTGTTTTTGTTGCAATTAGAGTGTGGGTTTTTGTTAGTGGGTAATTCTTCATTAGTGTCCAAATGTTTATATGGTATTGCTTTACGAAGCTCGAGTTCTGTTGACATTTTACTTTAAGTTTTATCACCTAACTTGAGACATTAGGTTGGCATAGATTGAGTTAAATATCAGCATGTTTTAACTTAATCTCTTAAATGGGTATGTGTTTTTATATGCTGTTTCCACTTGTAACGTTTAGTCAAATGTACATTCATTTGTAATCTTTGATTTTGCTTTTTGTAATCAGGTGTGATTTGGTGATATTTGCCAATGGAAAGACGGAGAAAATAGCCTCTGGCTTACTTAGTCCATTTCTTGCCCATTTGAAAACTGCGCAGGATGAGATGGCCAAGGGCGGATATTCAATTATTCTTGAGCTGGAGCCTGGTAATGAGGCAACATGGTTCACAAAGGGAACAGTTGAAAGGTTTAATTCTTGTTTTTTCTCCTCTTTCTAAGTATCTTTGTTTTATCTCAAAACTTGCACATGTTTCTGTATTCAATTGAGAATAGTTACAATTTATTCATCTGATTTACAGAGGTTCTATTTTGAGTTTTCGTTTGCATTTCTTTCACGAGGATATTTCACATATTTGGCATGGGCATCGCAATTGGCTTCTATTGAATACTGTGGGAGTCTACTTTATTCAATTCATTGTTGTATTTTCTTTCAAAAGAAAGAATCAATTACGAACTGATATATCAGACAATATTGGAAATAATTTATATCGTGGATACTTATCCCTTCTTATCACTCCTTCAATTCTTATGGGATATTTTAATATAAAATATGCATCAAATTAGCCTTGTTGATATTGAGAAGAACAATAATTTTCTCTGCCATTTGAGACCTCCCAAGACTTTCCCCTATATGATCAAGGAGCCGATTCATAGTGATCCGTTTTAGTTGCAGTAAGTTCTGGGTAAAAACCTACAAATGTGGCAGAGAGTTCTAATGTACAGAAATTCAGTGGGATGCAAAGGGATTTGGAAACAGAGTTTTGGCTAATTGGAGGATCTAGAAGTTAGAACGGGGTATCAGAGAGAGCCGTGAAACAAGATTCTTTCACCATCCTTTCCAAGATTTCCATTGATTTTATCAATGATCATTCTGTGATATGATTCCACCTACGTATTTCTTTACAGAACTTTTTCCGTCAACTGTTGTTGCAATCCTATCAGTTCAGTTCTTACACTTGAATTTTCCTTTATGTTTTAAATTTGATTGCAAAACTCTAGCTATGGGTAATATATTTATCCTTTTAATATGGAGACTATTCCTCAGCAATGTCATTGATGACTAATCTCTTTCTGTTTTTGTAGGTTCGTCCGTTTTGTAAGTACTCCAGAGGTCTTGGAACGGGTTTACACAATAGAATCTGAGATCTTACAGATTGAGGAGGCAATTGCAATTCAAAGCAACCATGAGATAGGGATAACTGCTGTAAGTAAAATTTTGAGTGTTCTCTAATCTGTACATATAGATATAAATTCCATTTTTCTCTGTATGACAGGTAGATAATCATCAAGCCAAGCCTGTAGAAAGTGTTGAAGGTACCTTTTTGTGCATCCTAATCAGTGTTCTATTGTAAGAGATAGAAACGTTCATAATTTCTGTCATTGAATGTGCGGTGACTGTCATGTGAAAGTAGGGTTGCACACTGCAGCACTGCATGGTGGCAAATCCCGAGGGTCTTCTTTTTCTGTTTCTCTTCTGAGCCTTTTGTCTGTAAATATTTCTTTGTGAGAAATAAAACAATAAATTTGTCATTGGTGGTTATTGATATCTGTTCCTAACGCATCTGGATAGGCAGCAAAGCTTTGCTGGATCCTAATGAAGAAAAAGCCATTGTCATTTACAAGGTAACTGATCCCTAGCTGGCCCTCAGAAGATGCATACCGATTGAAAATTTTCTTTTGATTTGGTTTCTCTGAATATCTGGCAGCCTGATTCGCACGCACCAGAGGCAAATGGGTCCACCGCGCCAGAGGAAGATTCAAAGTATGTCCAATCTTTTAAAAAAAGAAAGTTACTGAAGATTGTTTATGAACATGTAAATAGTATCTACTGTACACTTTTAATTTGTATGTTCTGATGTATCCATCATTTGGTTTCCTGGAAAACCATGTCAAATGAAGTAGGGAAGCATGAGCCTGGCCCACTTTTGTGCAACCAAAGCAATCCAGAAGTCAAGAATTGTTTTTATAGTCCATCTATAATTATCGATCATCTATGTTTGTCAGTCATATCATTTTCATAAGAAAAAGAAAGTTCATTCACAAGGCTCTAAGGGGGTGGGCTTTTCATATTATGGTTTTACTTAGTCACCCATGCTAAAGATGTATATCATATTTTCGAGAAGCTGCTTTTCGAGTAATGATAAAAAATGGTCGTTGGAGATACATAAATTACCTATAAATTTGTGGTAAATCATAAAATTAAATATTTGTTGCTTAAAAAAGTTAGAAGAGGAAAAGTTGCAATTCTTCATGATAAGTTTATTTTGAAATTGCCGTTGCTGAGCCACTTCCACTGTACTTAAAGTGGTTGCATGAACATCCATAAAGTTAAGCATCTATTATATTTATTTATTTGTTTGTTTTCAGAGTTCAACTCTTGCGAGTTCTGGAGACACGGAAAACCGTTTTACAGAAAGAACAGGGCATGGCCTTTGCACGTGCTGCAGCTGCTGGTTTTGACATTGATCACATGACACCTTTGATGTCATTTGCTGAAAGCTTTGGAGCCTCACGTTTAATGTAAGGAGTATTTCCTGTACTACTATTCTTTTATAATTCTTTTAAGCTTTCACTTGTACAAGAACTTTGATCTCAATGATGTTTTCCTCAAGTTTCCTTTTTAACATTTTTCTGCTTATGCTATGCCAAGGCCATAGTTTTAATATGATGGACTATATGACAAAATATTGACCAGTATAGTAGTTAGATGCTTCTTCATTAATTTAATATAAGCCTCAGCAAAAGTATGGATGGGGGAGAACCATATTAAGTACCCCTAGGTTACCAAGACAAAAATTGATTCCTGGGGATCTATTTCAGTTAAATGAACCACCAAGTGCAAATTCTCATCTTTCCAAGATATGAACAGAGATCAAAGCTCCTGATTTATGTGGTTTAGTTGTGCCTCATGGATCTACTGGGTAGTCAAATTAAATTCCTCCTACTCAAACAATCACTGCCATAAGCTTCTACTGCTACATTGTTTTTGTTACAGCTCAGAATCTCAACTTGAGATACTTACTGTCATTAGATACTACTTTTGGTGTTTCAAATTAAGGTACTGTAATTGAAGGTGCAGATTAAAATTAACATACAAATAATTTTGATTTTTTAAGTGATAAACAAATTTGAGAACTATAGAAAAAGGGGAGGAAAATAATGAGAAAGGGGTTATATAAATTTTGGGCAAGAAAATGGGATTTTGCTTAACAGCCAACATCTTCGATTTGCTGAATGAAACTTGGCTAAGATCATATGATTTGACGGAATATCTCTCTCATTTTCCTGCATCTAATCCGAAAATAAACATGTGAAATTGAAATTCAAACTCCAGGATTATCTTCTCAGTCTCTGTTACAGTCCACTTGCCCTTCATATTACTCACCTGATGATCATTACAATGAAACAAGATCTTCAAAAAAAAAAAACCATTCATAGTCTTCTTGTACATATATCTTATACCTTATCACCATCATCTTAATCTTTGATCCTTCCTTCCGAAACCAGAAACTATACAGAGGCCAACAAAAATTCTGCCCTGAAGCATGCAATGGATGATGAGTATAGTGCTCTCGTGGAAAAAAAAATGCAGATATTAGTTCCTCCTGCTGGAATTAATATGGTCGGATGTAAGTAGGTGTATTGGTTTAAAACTAAATTTTGTGGCATTCTTGAACACCTTAAAGTCTGGTTTGTGGCACAAGGAGCAACATAAAAGAGTCCATTATAATGAAACGTACAGCCTTACTATCAATCTAGCCTCCATCTTCATCATTTTATCTCTTTCTGTTTCCTTTAGGTGGTGTATTCATCAACTTGGCGTCAAAAAAGAGTTTTGAATGGCTATCTAAAGGAAGATATCTGGTGGACCTGAGAAGTAAACTCAATGGCGGGAGATAAATAAATATCTAAATTTAACTCAGTGTCTATCAGAATGTGGGAGCCTTTCTATAGCCTTGCACAAGCCACTTTGGAAGATTAATTCGAGAGAGATTTCTTTTCTTGGTGAAATCATATTATTCTCATTTGATGAGTGGAAACTAGTGAAGACTTCTCATGGAATCTGATTTTGGAAGTTGAGCGCATCACAAGAAGTGTATTCCTTTGCCTGGGAAGTGGCAAGGGTTTGTATCTTAATTATAGACAATTATTCTGATTAAAAGTGGGATGTTCAGTGTGAGTGAATGCTATTTGTGCAAGAGAGCTGCAGAGATTGTCAAAGATCTTCCAAAATGATGCCCTTTACTTCCTATCAGCTTTTGTCTTTGTCTTATAGTCTACTGGGATGAAGTGAGTTGTGGTGGGCTCAGACAAAGAGAAAGATATGAGCTTCGAGAGGCATCCATGTGCATAGATGCTATGATAAATATTTAGACATTATTCCTTATATTATATGGGCAGAAAGAAAAAGAAGAGCTTTTGAGGTGTAGAATTATCTTTTTTAGACTTAATAATACTTGTTTCTAGATCCTAAGGCTTTTTACTCAGTTTCATCCTATTTACACTTGTGAGGACTTAGAGGACCTGATTGATATTTTTGCAGATTTATAAATGTTTTTATATATAGATTGCACTCCCTTGGTTTTGGTTAATACTACAATTTTTAAAAAGAATCTAAAGGATGTGTATATGCACCATCCGCGCAATTTCAAAGATCTTGAGCATCCTGAATTTGCTGTGGGTGACTTTGCTACCTTGCATTATTTCTTGGGTATCAAAGTCACTTATAAGAAAAGAGGAATTGGACCACCCAAGTATGCGAATGATCTTCTCAAATGAAGTCATCTTGCAACATGCAAGGTCATTTTTTCACCTTGTCAACTCAGGGGTCAGCTCCCGTAAGGTTCCATTCCTCCTCTTCAAGATCGTCCAGTGTACGTTGCCTGGTAGTGGCCTTATGGTATCTCACTTTCACTCGCTTGGAGCTTTGTTTTGTTGTCAATCAAGTATGCTATCATTTGCATAATCCAAGAGAAGATAATATTCAAGCAGTTAAATGAATTCTCCGCTATGTTCTTGGCACACGTAACCATGGACTATAATTGTTTTTCAATTCTCCACAACTGCTCATGGATATTTTGATGCCGACTTGGACAGTTCCCAGACATTCTTTGTTCTACAACTGGCTACTGCTTTTTTCTTAGCTTGATCTTGGTCTTTTGGAGTGAGAAGAAGCATTGCACTCATGTTCAAGTGGAGAGGCAGAGTATCATGCTGTTGCTTCTATGTAACTGACATGACTTGGATTCCTAACTTGCTTTGTGAGCTTCAGGTTCCTATTGAAATCTATACCTATATTATAGTATGAATGGAACTGCCACGTACATGGCTTCAAATTGAATCCAACATGGCTGTCGTAAACATGTTGAATTGAACATTCATTTTGTTCACGAGAAGGTCCAATGTGAACATCTTCAAGTTCGTTACATTCTCTTGTAAAGTTACTCATTGTTATTGGAAACAAGACTCACTAAGTGAAACGATTTCGAAAATTTTGATGTAAAATTGTTCAAGAAACCTTCATTCTAAAATATACTTAACTTCTATCTTTTCTTTTCTCGTTCGTTAAAATGTTAATTGTCTTAACTGAAAGTTAAATAATTTTCTTCAGATGGTCTATTATTTACGAATTCCAATTGGCTGTCTTTTGTTCAATGCAGATTTTTTTACACTCTGGTTATGGGACTTGGTCTTGTTTAAAATTTGTTATACCCTTTCCTTTTTGTTGTCTACTGCAATGTGGATGTCTACACCACACTGAGTAAAAAATCTATACTCCTAAAAGCAGTTTTTCTTTATAATGAAGTTAGTGGGTGGAAGGAAAATTTGACATGGAGGCATGCTGCTGCTGGGATATTGCTGAAACTTATTGGGTTGAGTTGATTTTATATTATAAGGGCATAGCTGGGGAGAAAGAGAATCTTTCCGAATGATAGGACATAATCATTTTTCACTAGTAACTCATGGCAAAGTAATTTGTGTTTGGAAATCATTTATTGACATTTATAATGTCCATGTCCCAGGGATGCTTGTCTAAGATTTAAAGACTTGTGGAGAAAGAAGCATGAAACTGGCCAATGGCTTGAAATTGAGGCAGCTGAAGCAATATCTACCAGGGAAATGTGGCCTGAGAGTTCACAAAACAATGGAAAACCGAGTGTTGACACAAGTTCAGGTATGAGGTTAATGTTATATTCTTCTTTCCTGAAGTCATTGATCACCTTCTATTTCTTCAGATGAGGGACTTGCTCTATGGTAATTTTCATTGTGTCGTGTGTACATGTGCACTGTACTCATTGTACAATTTATAAACAAGTTGTGTCAGGCGAGATTTATTATTGATCCACCATATATATGTATGTATTAGTAATAGCAGTAGTTCAGAGTCAGGTGTCCTAAGACTTGCCTTCAGTCAGCTCTGTACCATGTGCAACTCGTAAATAAAATCTTAGATGAGATTTGTGATTTATAATAATGTTCTATGTATATGCACATATATTTATGTATATTATATAGCCCTTGTATGGAGAGTTTCTGTCAAGGAACAGACTACATAAGTAAATATAAGCACACAATAGAGAAATACAATACAATTGGAGATTTATGTCTTACTATTTCAATACATGTGTCTTTGCATGTTTGGGTATGGGCTTCTCTTGGTTGGGCTCCTTTGTGTACTTTCATCACTTTTTATTTCTTTGGAAAAAGGAGGTAGCAACGTGGTTCTTGTAAATTTTCAGAATAAATTCACTTACTGAGTATTGATTTCATTTGTGATTTGTATTTATACAAGAGATATACAAGGGAAACTTTTGGTGGACCTCCTAAAAATAAAATCTGGAAATTGCGACAAACTAACAGAATATAAACATATGCCATCAGTTCTTATCTTTTGATATTATCCTTGTGAATTTATATCTGTACGTTCATGGTTTTTGTTTATCCATGGACATGGTATAAACCTTCTGTTTTATGGCACTTGGCACTTGGATAGAGTGGAGTATAGACACTTATCGGTATCCCTTTCCCTTAATTGCATGATAGGATCAAGTGGAAATAATTTATTGTCCTGCTTATCTTATAGGGTTGTGGTTGTTCCCATTAAAAATGTTACAATATGAATAGTCTAGTTGGGCCATTTCTCAACTGTTTTACATGGTATGAGAACAAGAGGAGTTCAACCATGGAATCCTCCTCTTTCCTGTATTGTTTACCTAATTCTTGCTTACAGCCCTTTTGTGCAAAGCTCCTTGGTTGGTTGGTGTCCCATTTGCACATGGGGAGATATTAAAATATAGTTAAGTTGTTTTTTTTCTTCTGAAATAAAGATATAGTTAAACTGTCGTGAACTTTTCTGCTTAACGCTTGGGATAGTTGGTAATTCAATTACTTTGTAGCAGTCTCTTAGAATAAACCCTTACTTCTGAAGTTTCCCCATTAAATTTCAAAACACCTATACCTTTTTGACTCTGCATGCAAAGGTTGCGTTTCATAGTTGTTTTTAATGATTGGATTTACCATACGAGTGTGAGTTGTTACAAAGGGCTTTCAGCAATAGTTTTTGTGATAAGGAAATAAAATTGGCCCACATTAAATGTTGACATAGCACTAGGAAACAAATTAAACTGCAATGCTGGTGTAAACTGTGGAAAAAAAAATCTAATGAGAGCATAAATACCTCAATTATTACTGAAGGTGGAATATTCTTGCATGCTTTGATGTAATTGATGCATCCTTTAAGATCTTTGAAAAAACTCTTCGCTTATGCTCCAGATGAGAAGCCTACAATGGATCATCGATCAATTGGTGGTCAGGAATACTCTCAAGGGCAGTTTCCACAGCCTATATTCCCGCCCTGGCCTATTCATTCTCCTCCCGGTGCCTTGCCAGTCTTTCAAGGATATGCCGTGCAGGGCATGCCGTACTATCCCAACTATCCAGGAAATGGCCCATTTTTCCAGTCACCATATACAGCTGGGGAGAATCCTGCCAGTGCTGGTCAAAGACTGAGACAGAAAAGGCAGTCAATGGACAATAAGGATTCTGA